GCAATACTTTTTGTACATATTTGCATGATTTACGTGTGAAATTGATTTGCAGCAAATATTTTTAAGAGAAATGCCATGGTGGCCGCGGTGCAGTTTAGAAGTAGCCCAAAAACCCGCCACCAATACATTTTCACCCCAGACATCGTTTTCAAAGTAGCCCAATTTCAGGAAAACCACAAACATGTCAACCCCACCCTACAATTCATTGAATGGCAAGGCACTCTGGGAAATATGCAAATAAGGCTTGACACTAAGCAGTGTGTTAATTTAACACTGAAAAGTGTGGACCCGTGTAGGCACTGGAACAGTGTTAAATTTAGTACTCTCAGTGTTGATTTAACACTGGCGCATTTGCTGTGTAGCCATTTGCATACTGTATGATCTGTTTATCGGATCCTGCCACGTCCACTGTTTCCAGATGTATGTTCTTCACCTTTGTCTTCTTTTAAGGCTGTTATTTTACATCATTATCATACATATTGTTATTAAAGGCCTAAAGGGAAAATGTCACAACTCTTTCAACTTCATAGTCCTCATCTTCAGCACTACCCCAACATCAACATATGTGAAAATGGCACGTTTTCTATGTTTTGTGGGAAAAAAAGATGGAGGGAGATAAGAGGGCGATAAGTGTTTCCAATGACATCATCGGTGTGCATCATGTGATTTTAACCAATTATGAGTAGGCGTTGACTACTAATTGTCTACTAATTGGTTGATGATGTCATTGGAAACACTTATTTTCCTCAATCTTTTTTTTACTACAAAACAGAAACGCAACATTTTCACACATGTTGATGTTGCAGTGGTGCTGGACATGATGAATATAAAGTAGATATTTTTTTTTTTTTCCCTTTAAATTAGAATGATGATACATTTGTGATCCAATGATCAGTCTAAGACAGATACAGTGTGTAGTCAGCTATTTGCTCTCAATAAATACGGTTAGTTTGTTTATTTGTTTGGTCTCAAACTAATTTGACAAACTAATCATCATCTTCGCATTAATCCAACGACTATTTCAAAAAGGAATCCAGCCCTTTAAGGACTTGCTCCTCTTTTGGGTTGCAGACAAAAGGTAGCTGAAATTACACCCTTTGCAAGAAAAGCTCTGGCCCTTTGGGTATTGTACATCAACTCTATACTCACAACGACACATCATATTGTGACTGTAGTCTCTCAATTGCTACAATTACAGTTCTGCTCGCCAACATGAGCAGAGAGCAGGCCAATTGGGCCTTTAACAAAAGACTCCGGACCATTTTTGTTGTTGGTCAACTACTTTCCCTTCTACTCTTCAGGACCTATTCTGTGACAGCAGTAGGTAAGGAATTCAGACAATTCTGTGGATGTGTATTCAGGCTACAATTGAGGCTAGACTAATATTGTATGAGTGATCACAGTGACTAATAACAGTTGTAAACAGACAAAAAACAGCCATTAGTTGCCATTAATACATTTATGATAACATTACCTAACTATGCATGACAGACCACTGTTAAGTATTTCAAAATTGGATTCGCACTGGTTTGCAATGTCATTGAGCTGTGGATAATGCCGTTCTACCAGTCCTTTCATAAGAGCAAATCGTTGTTGTTTTTAAGAGAGTGTGTTGTACTGGACATATACAGTGGGGGAAAAAAGTATTTAGTCAGCCACCAATTGTGCAAGTTCTCCCACTTAAAAAGATGAGAGAGGCCTGTAATTTTCATCATAGGTACACGTCAACTATGACAGACAAAATGAGAAAAAAAAAAAGCCTGAAAATCACATTGTAGGATTTTTAATGAATTTATTTGCAAATTATAGCTGGGCAACACGGACTTTCAACTCCCTCCAAATATTTTCTATGGGGTTGAGATCTGGAGACTGGCTAGGCCACTCCAGGACCTTGAAATGGTTCTTACGAAGCCACTCCTTCGTTGCCCGGGCGGTGTGTTTGGGATCATTGTCATGCTGAAAGACCCAGCCACGTTTCATCTTCAATGCCCTTGCTGATGGAAGGAGGTTTTCACTCAAAATCTCACGATACATGGCCCCATTCATTCTTTCCTTTACACGGATCAGTCGTCCTGGTCCCTTTGCAGAAAAACAGCCCCAAAGCATGATGTTTCCACCCCCATGCTTCACAGTAGGTATGGTGTTCTTTGGATGCAACTCAGCATTCTTTGTCCTCCAAACACGACGAGTTGAGTTTTTACCAAAAAGTTATATTTTGGTTTCATCTGACCATATGACATTCTCTCAATCCTCTTCTGGATCATCCAAATGCCCTCTAGCAAACTTCAGACGGGCCTGCACATGTACTGGCTTAAGCAGGGGGACACGTCTGGCACTGCAGGATTTGAGTCCCTGGCGGCGTAGTGTGTTACTGATGGTAGGCTTTGTTACTTTGGTCCCAGCTCTCTGCAGGTCATTCACTAGGTCCCCCCATGTGGTTCTGGGATTTTTGCTCACCATTCTTGTCATCATTTTGACCCCACGGGGTGAGATCTTGCGTGGAGCCCCAGATCGAGAGAGATTATCAGTGGTCTTGTATGTCTTCCATTTCCTAATAATTGCTCCCACAGTTGATTTCTTCAAACCAAGCTGCTTACCTATTGCAGATTCAGTCTTCCCAGCCTGGTGCAGGTCTACAATTTTGTTTCTGGTGTCCTTTGACAGCTCTTTGGTCTTGGCCATAGTGGAGTTTGGAGTGTGACTGTTTGAGGTTGTGGACAGGTGTCTTTTATACTGATAACAAGTTCAAATAGGTTCCATTAATACAGGTAACGAGTGGAGGACAGAGGAGCCTCTTAAAGAAGAAGTTACAGGTCTGTGAGAGCCAGAAATCTTGCTTGTTTGTAGGTGACCAAATACTTATTTTCCACCATAATTTGCAAATAAATTCATTACAAATCCTACAATGTGATTTTCTGGATTTTTTTTTCTCAATTTGTCTGTCATAGTTGACGTGTACCTATGATGAAAATTACAGGCCTCTCTCATCTTTTTAAGTGGGAGAACTTGCACAATTGGTGGCTGACTAAATACTTTTTTTCCCCACTGTAGCTTATACAGTATAATGATGATTTGATAAGATTTGGTATAGAACAAATTAACTTCTCCATCTCAGAAACCTCTAAAGTTCATCCATCTCTGAACAAAGGATCAACATTACCGGTCATAATACTTTCTTTTCAGGCAATATTCATAAAAGAAAAGAACATGAATAGCCACCATCTCAATGTCACATTGAACAATGGCAACAGGGTAAGAGACATTGTCTGCATTAGAAATTAAATCTGGTCAAACTACTCCAAACAAATGTTCCAGATACTACTGATAGACCTGCTAGCTCACAGGACTGGCCTGGGGGAAGGAGCACACTCGGAGGGTCAACTGAGGGACAAAAACTCACACTGGAACGATCAATGTCAACAGGTTACCATGTCACCCCCTCACTGGGACAGATTTACTTAGTATTTACTCTAAGTGCGCTTGTTATTTGTCAGAGGAAGTGAATCATGAAATGTAAAACAAAAGCTCAAATGAAGAGGTAAAATATGACAGATCGTTTCACGTTTGTTTTTTTGTGTTTTATTCTTTTTGCAAACTCCCTGGTAATTAGTATAGTTTCTGGCAACAATGCAACCATATAAAGATATTTTGACTGGAAATCTGAAACTGATATACACCCTTTTGATATCCCACAGGCTTGCCTACAGAATGGACAACTGAAGAGAGATATGTCGCACATGAGGGAAACAACTCTGTCTCTACACCTTCTGAAGTTTCTGTCTTCCCAAACCTAGACACTGGTCCACGAACTAACTTTGCCAATCAAAAGGATCCAGGGTCAAACAGAAAAATCACAGGTAGTGCTAACTTTTCATATCTGCTGTTTACTTTGAATAATGAATGAGTTTGTGACATTAGAGTTTGTGTTATTCTGTCTCCACACTTTGGCAAAAAAAAGCTGAATTCATACTGTGTCCATTTTCTAATACACTTTTGAAATGCATTTTTCCCCCCAGTCCGTTTAGGTGTGCATGTGGCTCTCTTTGGTCCAAGAGAATTCCTTGTCCCTGAGTTACTTCTTGCCCTATACAAAGAGGTCAGTACTGTTTACACAAATGACTAAACTTTATGCGATCATACTGATACTGTAAAGATACAAATTACGTTAATAACAATAATGGTAAATGTAAAAATACCAAAAAACTTCCCAATGATGATAATCTGAATGTCAACAGTATAAATCTCAACCGAAGTTAAACTGCCCCCTGTCAACCATTAATCAGCAAGTCTAAAGTTCAATGACTGAGCAGTTTCTGTTAGCTTTGATCAGTCACTCAGGTTTATCATTCATTTACTGTGAAAGGGTCAGATATTGTTGTGGTGTTTCTATATTGTATGGCTTGGCAATTAAAAGAGCCATATACACTCTTGTAAAGAAAGCCATATCAAGAAATTACTACACTAATGTTATCAGAGATTGTGGCTAATTAATGGTTTAGGTTTCAGTTAGGGTTCTTCACACTGAAAAGGCACACATTTGATTAAGAAACACAATGTAGCAAGCAAGCAAAAACACTAATACGCGAGTGCAGTAACAACAAAGCAACAGCAGGACACACTATGGATTAACTAGGGATTCATGATACTGTAATAACATAGGCATAGTCAACTGTGTCTGTCTACTCAAGTTATGTTCATAAAGTAACTTCATGATCTCTCTTTTCTTTTTGAGAAGCCCATTCTCTACAGTCTTGGAGAGAAGAAAGGGGTGCTTTCCCTGCGAATAACTGGAATAAGAAAGAGTGACCTGTGACCCCTGAGATTGCATCACATTGGACTCTTCTGAACCTCTCCACCTGAAGATGCAGACCTCCTTCAATTCTTTATTCTCTGTTTTCTTCTTGTTTATTTATATTCTATATCTGTAGTGCTGTCAAGATTACTCTCAAATTGGTTTATTTGCCTGTTCTATCAGATTTATTAAAAATGAACTTCATTATGATGAAAAATCTTACCGTATAAGTGTTGGCTCACAGCACGAGATAGACAACCCTGCCCATAAGACTAGCTAACCAATAGCAATAGGCTTAGAGTCTTTAATCCCACCCTTTCTTCCTGTGCTTCTTTCCTTCAGCGCTTTGGAAGTTTATTATGTACACATTTCATGTGTGTCTGTAAATAGAGCTCGCACGGACAATAGTCCATGTAAATAAAACGTTTCTTTTGACGTTTTTCTGAACTCTTTGGAGCGTGCCCTGAGCGGTGTGCGCTGTCTTTTAGCTAAATACTAAAGAGCAAAGAGGGCGATTTACTATGGCTTGTCCGATCTATCCAAAGGACACACCGCAGCCACCCGAAGGACATCGAATTTCAGCAAGTACTGCGTCAAATTGGAGGTAAAGAGAGTATATACTTGATAAGTGATGCGGTCAAATCGGACGAGGAGGACGAAGACAGTGGGATATTAAAGGAGTTCATTCAGGACATGTTTCATAGCGGGCGCACTGAAAACCTTGGTACGAGCCATGCCAACAACAACACTAATGGTCAGGTTTATTCCTCTCCAAATAGTCAAGGCGATACTACAAAAGAAAATAATGGTACATGCGAAACAGTAATCGACTGCAAGACTTTGCCTCAAGCCCAGGGGAACAAAATACCTCTGTCAACGAGGCCAAAGGATTTAGTATTGAGTGCCAAGTCTGTGGGGGAGGATAAAGGACCACTAAGGCTCAATGGGAACGTTCAAAAGACCAAAACCTTAAGCATGAACAGTTGTAGACGAAAGCGAATAATAGACTATCCTATTATAATATTCATATTCAGACACGAGTTTTTCAGTGGCAGTGCAAACGCAATTTGCCTGAAAGAAATTCTGAAGGACGTTAGGGCACGTACGAAACGTGCCAATGTCCTCCCAGCACTAGTCGGGTTAATACGCTCACTAGGTGAGAGCAAGGAGTCGCGTGAATCTGTGGGAATTCTGGAGGGCCTGCTTCGTTCAGTGTTTCGGAAACATCCCCCAGAAGCCATCTGGGCAGGGCATTTCATTCCCAAAACGGAGGATAGGATGCTCGCCATCAAGAAATATGCCAGCAAAGCCATCTATTCGTCTCAATCGTCAGGTGAAATACACATTTTCAAATGTTTGTGGTTTGTAAACCATGGTCAGTTATTTTATGCACTGTGTTATAGGCCTCATGAATTGTTTGTACTTTTATCATTTTTATGAATGTATGCACACATGACTGTAAGTCGCTTTGGATAAAAGCGTCTGCTAAATGGCATATTATCATAACTCATGTTTAGCCATAGGCCTATAGTCTATGTAGGTCAGTTCATGACACCCATAAGACTGGGGGGACATTTTTCATGCATTCAATATTCTCACAGGCTAGTGGACTTCAGAACAAAGTAAGCATTCAGTAAGCAAACTGCCCCATAGATTTGCTGCCAAATGTTCATGCTCATTATTGCCTTTGCAGATAATTCTGGGGAAAGAGGGAACATGTTTTTCAGGCCATTCCAATGTTTGCCTTGGCCTAGAAGAAGACATGGCTGCCAGGCCAACAACACTTCAGCAAACAGGCAAAGAGGTAAATGTTGTCCTCTTCCAATTCCACTCTCCGTGTACGTCCTTGACAGTAAATGGGGGTACATAACAGTTCAATGTTGTTGTTTTTCAGGTGACACAGGAAGTGCAGAGGAAGGGATTCCTCTGAAGACTGGTGTTCTGTCCGCTGGACCCCAGGCAGATTCAGACTGTGGTGTAACCAGAAAGGACAGTCATGATGACACTCATGGGTCATGAGTTCCCATGTTCAACTGTGGACAATGCTCTCAGTCAAACCCACAAAAGTTGGGCTCAAGGAACATTGGCGTCTGTACGTTTGCTGTTAAGTCACATGACTGACACATTGGCCTTGCAATGGGTTGATGATCAGTCACAGAAGAGTTGATACATTAGCCTGTGATTTAGAACAATTTGAATTTAGAGAGATAACTCAAGTTACGCAACTTAATACATTTAGTGTACATGCGTATCTTGTGAGTTTACTCTGTTACATAGCCATCCATGTATGTTGTCACTTTATATAATTGTAAATGTAATATCTGCTTTTGTTGAGATAACATAGTTACAAAGAGCTCATCTTGAAATGTAAAACAACAATGAAAAAATGTGACCGACAAACACTATGACCATTTACATCATGCTGTTCGGTAAGTATATTGATGTTGTTTTCTTTTGCTTCAGTTTATACTTGACTTCAGTTAACATTAAGCAACTAGTTAGATTGAAAATATTGTTCTTTAACCCATATAGATTTAATAGGCACAATGAAAAAGTGTTAGAAACAATGAGAAACTCAGAAATGTGAAACATTTAGGTGCCTTAGAATTTCAGACTACACTAAATAAAAATGCTTGGTTAAAAACAACCCAGTGCTGGGTAAATAATGGATATGTTTTTGACCTAGCCAGTTGGGACACTTAGTTGGGTTATTGAGCTATGATCCACCGAGTCAGATCAGAAGACTGGTGTGGCTTAGTTGGGGCGTGGCTTTCAGATGGTTCTTTTTGGCCACCTGTGAGAGTAAATGTAATTCCGGTTAATCTGTTCTGTTGTATTGTCAACACATGATAAGGTTGAGTACTGACACTTTTGTAGCTTAATGAGGTTTACACAAGTTGAGTTCCTCAAGTGCCAATGTTTGGATAGTTACCAGTTTGTTATGATATTTAAATAATAATGTAATTAATTGTATATAAAAATATGTAATATGCAAAAATATCTAAGGCAAATTTACATTTGCATTGTACAAACATCATGATGAACAGGAATGACGTTTAACGCTCATGGGTGTCCCAAAATACCTATCTGAAAGTCACGCCCCCAATATGCCACGCTTCCCGAAAATAACCTATGGATTACATAAAAAAAGACCCATCTGATAGGTCAACCAAGCATAAAGGTTAATTAAAAACCCAACATATGGTTAAATTAATCGAAAGGCGTGGCCTATTGGATGCATGGCTTTCGGATAGTTATTTTTGGCCATTTGTGAGAGTAAATGTCATTAATGTTCATCATGTTAAGTTTGTACACTGCAAATTTCAATTTTCCTTAATATTTTTACACATTACATATTTTTATATAAAATGTATAACATTATTATTTAAATAATATAACAAAGTGGTAAATATCCCAACATTGGGATATGCATAGGCACTTAAGGAACTCATACTCTTGGTGTAAGCCATATTAAAGCTACAAAAGTGTCAGTGCTCAACCTTAACATGTGTTGACAATCCAACAGAACAGATTAACCGGAATGACATTTACTCTCACAGGTGACCAAAAATAACTATCTGAAAGCTATGCCTCCAGTCTTCTGATCTGACCCGGTGGATCATAGCTCAATAACCCAGCATCAACAACCCAATTTAAAGAAAACAATGGGTTGTTTTTAACCCATCATTTTTTTAGAGTGTAATGACAATAGCAATTGCACTAATCCAACGGGTTATGGGTTTACTTTAACTTTATGATTTTAAACTAAAAGATTGTATAATTGCACTGTATATAGTTTGTATATGTATTGCTACATTATCTTTCTTGTATGCTTCATTCACTGTTTTCATGCAGTTCATTAATAGTTTTGAAGCCGCTGCTTTGTGATGGAACCAATGGAGTAAAACTACCGTAGTTAATTAATTACAATAAACTTTATCAAATAACACATTTTATTTTCAAAGAGCAACCATGTACTGCATCTTTCTTTAAGTTATGTGGAATGACTGATAAAAAGGGGTTGATATCAAAAAGTTGTATTTTACTTTAGTGTAACAAATGCTTGCTATATAATAATAATAATATGCCATTTAGCAGACGCTTTTATCCAAAGCGACTTACAGTCATGCGTGCATACATTTTTGTGTATGGGTGGTCCCGGGGATCGAACCCACTACCTTGGCGTTACAAGCGCCGTGCTCTACCAGCTGAGCTACAGAGGACCACCTGCTATCTTGACCTACAAGTGATATTTTGCTTTTTTTTCGAAAACAAGACATTATTGCTTCAGGGGCCTTTTATTGCAGGTTCACTAGGGTCATCCATTATAGTAGTTGACTCCCGACATGTTCCTCTGCCCAGGTGTTGCTGATGCCTACCAGATCTTACAACGCCTCGATAAGTATTTTACATACAGTGCATTCTGGAAAGTATTCAAACCCCTTCCCTTTTTCCACATTTTGTTACGTTGCAGCCTTATTCTAAAATGGATTAAATAATGTAAAGGTAACTCGGGTAACTTGTGTTTCCATTGATCATCCTTGAGATGTTTCTACAACTTGATCGGAGTCCACCTGTGGTAAATTCAATTGATTGGACATGATTTGGAAAGACACACACCTGTCTATATAAGGTCACACAGTTGACAGTGCATGTCAGAGCAAAAACCAAGCCATGAGGTCGAAGGAATTGTCCGTAGAGCTCCGAGACAGGATTGTGTCGAGGAACAGATCTAGGGAAGGATACCAAAAAATGTCTGCAGCATTGAAGGTCCCCAAGAACACAGTGGCCTCCATCATTCTTAAATTGAATACGTTTGGAACCACCAATAATGCAATCATTTTACTAATATTTGCCATATTCTAATAATTATTGTGCCAAGGTCTGTGCAATGTGAAACTTGCACAACTGTAGATCTGAAATAATTGGATGGTGAAACTTGCATCCTGCCAACCAGAAAAGCAAGGCGAAGCAATTCAGGCATTCTTGTACTGCCAAGTGACATACTTTTTTATTTAAATTTTTAGTCATTTAGCAGACGCTCTTATCCAGAGCGACTTACAGTTAGTGAGTGCATACATTTTTTTCCATACTGGCCCCCTGTGGGAATCGAACCCACAACCCTGGCGTTGCAAGTGCCATGCTCTACCAACTGAGCTACAGGAGTGAAAAAAGCAGTAGGCATTTAGAATTAAATGTGGAGTGGAGTTTATAGTTACGTGATGATATCTCGTCCCCCGAATACCTTCAAAAGTATTCGGCAATCATCATTAATCGTAAAAACACCGTTTCCATCATCATTTGTCGCAATAAAGTTAGACAAAAGAAAAATCCACCCCTCTCGAACTGATAAAAATGTTGTCTCCTATATCTGACTTTTCCATTACCCATGTCGCAAAGATTTTTTTTGCGACGTTGATTTAGTCGAAACCTGTCTAACATGAACATCATACTTGAAAACTTTAAAGAGGCTATAAAGAAGGGAGAACTACCTGCAGAAGGGAGAACTACCTGCAGAAGGGAGAACTACCTGCCTCTCTGAAACAAGGCGTTATTACTCTTATACCTGAACCACAAAAGGATCTCTTAATTATTGATAATTGGCGTCCAATCACACTCCTAAATAACAACGATGCATTTGAAGTTATGGTAATTTTTTTGCTGATGCTGTTAGAACTCTGCATAATGGCAGAAATGTATCAACCTCTGTCATGGAACATCCTCAAGGTTTAACATAAAATGACCCGATACCTTTGGGGTTCTGATGGCACTGAGGCTGGTCTGTTCTGAAATGAGGCTTTTGGTCTGCCTACAAGGGCGGCTGTAGGAAGTCGATGATATCCGAGGCTGCCATCACCTCTTCAGGAGTTGGGTGCTGCAGTCTGGTGTCAGTCTATGTGAACTGCCCTCACCCCATCCCTCAGGTGTGCTGCAGTCTGGTTGGTCAGTCTGAGACCACATGACCTGTAGCCTACGGCCCAGACTCCTCCATCACACACAGCCCTCTGGTTCCATAGAGAGGTGGAGGGGCTTCCCACCATAATGGCTGCCCATCCTGTGTTTTCTCTTGACGTGTTGCGGTGCAGAATCAGGTTGCTGACCTACTCCCTACGTGTTCTCCAGACCCTGAAGGGCAGGTTACTGCCTATAGCTGTTAACCGTGTGGTCGGTGTATCAAACTAAGCAGCTCATTCGCGAGACCCTGAATATTGTATTGAATGCAATTTGAAGAGATTAGTATGAAAATGTAGGCACTAACTGTAAATCGCTCTGGATAAGAGCGTCTGCTAAATGACAAATGTAATGTAAAATGTAACATTTACAAAGGAATACGACAAGGTTGTCCAATCTCACCTTTTTAACATTTTTGTTAGTTTCTCAAACCTTATGCTCATTAGTTTATCAATGTCAATTTGACGGCATTACATTCCAGGCCAGAGAGATCAGGATATCCCAACTGGCGGACGACACCTCACTTTTCTTTTGATAAATATGTTACAAGCTAGATTAGTATTGGATATTGTGAAGCAGTTCTCCAAAATCTCAGGTATTAAATCTTTCCAAATGTGAGACGTTTGTTCTGAAAGGAGCTGTCAATCCAGCAGATTGTAACATCTCTGAAAAAGATACTGTAACGTACCTCGGTGTAAAGATCACCAAAAATCCTAAGGCTGTGAATGATCTTAATTTGAATCCTGCAACTGAATCTATCAAAAATACATTTTCCTCATGGTTAGGGAGGGATTTAAGTCTTCAAGGGAGGGTGCTTTTATCCAAAGCTGAGGGGCTATCTCGTGCATCCTATCTTTTTAAATCTATTGACATTCCCAAATCCACTTGCTGTACCTTAGATAGGCTATTGTACAACTTCATATGGAAAAACAAGCCACATAAGATAAAAAGAGATGTTATCACCAACAGGGTTTGTGATGGCGGTCTAAATGTCTTAGACTTCACTCTCTTTAATCAGATATCAAAAGTAAATTGGGTTAGAAGGTACTTTAAAAATCCTCATAGTTTCTGGAATATTATACCTCATTTTGTTTTTCAGAAGCTCGGAGGGCTTGATATTTTACTACAATGTCCCTATATTGTGGGTAAATGTCCTGTGAAATTGGCGGCTTTTCACAAGCAGGCTTTAATGGGCTGGGCTTTGCTGTATAAACACAACTTTTCACTTCATAAATGTTTTATATGGAATAATGGGTCGATATTACAGAGAAACAAGATGTTATTTTACTGTAACTGGTTCTCGAAAAACATTGTCCTTGTCAGCCAATTACAGTGGCTTGCGAAAGTATTCACCCCCCTTGGCATTTTTCCTATTTTGTTGCCTTACAACCTGGAATTAAAATTGATTTTTTGGGGGGGTTTGAACAGTGAGAGACAGAATAACAACAACAAAATCCAGAAAAACGCATGTCAAAAATGTTAGAAATAGATTTGCATTTTAATGAGGGAAATAAGTATTCGACCCCTCTGCAAAACATGACTTAGTACTTGGTGACAAAACCCTTGTTGGCAATCACAGAGGTCAGACGTTTCTTGTAGTTGGCCACCAGGTTTGCACACATCTCAGGAGGGATTTTGTCCCACTCCTCTTTGCAGATCTTCTCCAAGTCATTAAGGTTTCGAGGCTGACGTTTGGCAACTCGAACCTTCAGCTCCCTCCACAGATTTTCTATGGGATTAATGTGCCTCTTCTTGAGCCACACCTTTGTTGCCTTGGCCGTGTGTTTTGGGTCATTGTCATGCTGGAATACCCATCCATGACCCATTTTCAATGCCCTGGCTGAGGGAAGGAGGTTCTCACCCAAGATTTGACGGTACATGGCCCCGTCCATCGTCCCTTTGATGCGGTGAAGTTGTCCTGTCCCCTTAGCAGAAAAACACCCCAAAAGCATAATAATAACCTCCATGTTTGACGGTGGGGATGGTGTTCTTGGGGTCATAGGCAGCATTCCTCCTCCTCCAA